TAGCACATGCATGTAGGGACAAAATCAGAAAGGCTAAGGCACAAAATGAGTTACACATAGCAGAGGCCGTAAAAGGCTCTCTATGAAGAGGCTCTATAAATACATTAGGAGAAAGAGAAAGATGAAGCAACATACAGATCCTCTACTTAGTGGTGAAGGAGAGCTAATGACTGATGACATCAAGAAGGCTGAGGTATTTAATGACTATTTTGCTTCAGTCTTTACCAAAAGGATTAATGGTGACCAGATACTCAACACAATTAATATTAACAACAAGGGGGCAGGAATACAAGCCAAAATAGTGAAAGAACAGATTAAAGAATAAATATTTAAATACATTAGATGTATGCAAGTTTGAAGGTCCTGATGAAATTCATCCTTGGGTACTTAAGGAACTAGCTGAACCAATCTCAGAATCATTACCAATGATCTTTGAGACCTCCTGGAGGACGGATAACTCTCCAGAGGACTGGAGAAGGGCAAGCATAGTACCTATCTTTAAAGGGAACAAAGAGGACCCAAGGAATAGATCAGTCACCCTAACTTCAATACTTGGAAAGATACTGGAACTAATTATTAAACAATCAGTTTGTAAGTACCTGGAGGATCATAGGGTTATAACAAATACCCAGCATGGATTTGTCAAGAACAAATCTTGCCAAACCAACCTAATTTTCTTTTTTGACAGGGTTATTGGCCGAGTGAATAGGCAAGAAGCAGTAGACATGATATATCTTGAGTTTAGTAAGGTTTTTGACATAGTCCCACATAGCAGTCTCATAAACAAACTAGAGAAATGTGATCTAGATTAAATTATTATAAAGTGGATGCACAACTGATTGAAAAACTGTGCTCAAAGAGCGACAAAGAGTCCTGTGGCACCTTATAGACTAACAGACGTATTGGAGCATAAGCTTTCGTGGGTGAATACCCACTTCGTCAGATGAAAGCTTATGCTCCAATACGTCTGTTAGTCTATAAGGTGCCACAGGACTCTTTGTTGCTTTTTACAGATCCAGACTAACATGGCTACCCCTCTGGTGCTCAAAGAGTTATCAATGGTTCACTATCAAACTGGGAGGGGTTCCTGCAGAGGTCAGTCCTGGGTTTGGTACTAGTCAATATTTTAATTAATGACTTGGATAATGCAGTGGAGAATATGCTTATAAAAGTTGCAGATGACACTAAGCTGGCAGGGGATGCAAGCACTTTGGAGGACAGGATTAGAATTCAAAATGACCTTGACAAACTGGATAATTGGTCTGAATGCAAGTAAATGAAATCAAATAAAGACAAGTGCAAAGTACTTCACTTAGGAAGGAAAAAATCAAATGTATACCTACAAAATTATAATTAACTGGCTAGGGGTTAGTACTTCTGAAAAGGATGTGGGATGATAGTGGATCACTAATTGAATATGAGTCAACACTATGATGCAGTTGGTAAAAAGGCTGATGGAATGGAAGGAGTTATGGTTTGCGGTGGTTCTTAGTTCTTCTCTGAGTTTGTTCCACAGTCTGCGATCACCCCCTAAGAAATACTGTTTCTTGCACAGAGTAATCTTTATCCTTATAGTAGAAAGTTCCATGCGGCCATGGGGAGCAGAATTTGTCAACCATAACCTTCAGCCTTTCAAAGTATAACTCCTGGTGGATCTGTGTTGTTCCCCACACTAGTAGCATTTGCGCTTTTAATGGCAAATGGAGAAAAATTATTTAACCATCGTTGTAAGCTCACCAAGGCAGCTTTTGTATGTCTGCCTCATTCAGTGACTGGGGTGGAATCAGCAGCCCACTGTATCTGAGACAGCATTACAGGCCTAGATGGTGTCATCCATGTAAGTCATAAATCATTGTCAAGTGTGTCCAAGGGCATGGAGCAGTCTTCAGCACCCTCATTTGGAATTCTTCACCATATTGTAACCACAACACTCCCTATGTGTGTCATGGGAAATGTTGACTAGATAACTGAATAGGATAACACTGTGGTATGGATATTTCTTGCACATGGCAGATGCAACAGTAGCAAAAATTGCTTTTCCATTTATGTGTTATTTGTGTTGTTTTTCATTCTTAGATTCCACCTCATCCTCTCCTATTCTATCTGAGACGACTTCCCTATACAAATCTCTGTCTCACTGCTGTTCCTCCTTTTCAGACTGCAGGCCAAACAAACTAATAACACTCTACTCAGTTCACACAAAGGAAGTGCAAATGCTCTGCTGGATGGACACAGTTACAGAGTACTCCCTGATCATATCAGTATTTGTTCTGCAGCTTCCAGGGAGGAGGTGTGAAGAACTGAGGAGGAAGCATGTCCCAACCTCCACCCTGAGTGATGAGACTGATTCAAACACTGCAGTTTAAAAACCACACAGTACTGCTCAGGGAACCCATTAGGAATTTAAAATCAAACACATTTTGTGAACATAGTGACTTTTGAGTCAAAAGCCACAGCTTAGAGCACTGAGGACCACAAGTTAGGTAGCACTTATTTGTATGAAAACTGTGCAAACCTAATTCTCCCAACTCATTGTGTTAATAAAGCAAACAGAGTCTTGCAGTGTAGCATCATTTAAACAATTGTGGTATCTGGGTTTTATATGCATAGAATCCTTTCTACTCTATTCTTCATCTCTTTACTTTCATCTACACTTTAATAAATTATTGAGAGGATTTTTAAGCATAGGAATAAAAACAAAAACATTGGAATATTTGTGACCTGAAAGTTAAGTATCTATTGAATTGACAGGTTTCAGAGTAGCAGCCGTGTTAGTCTGTATCCGCAAAAAGAACAGGAGTACTTGTGGCACTTTAGAGACTAACAAATTTATTAGAGCATAAGCTTTCGTATGCATCCGAAGAAGTGGGCTGTAGCCCACGAAAGCTTATGCTCTAATAAATTTGTTAGTCTCTAAGGTGCCACAAGTACTCCTGTTCTTTTTATTGAATTGAAATGTTCCAAACTGTATAAAGAGCTTCTGACACTGGATCTCTACCAAAACACACACACGCATCGGTTCCCCTCTGAATTCATTAGCCTTCCCACACAATTGAACATGGATGCCTAAATTTCTTTATCTTCAAGATTTTTCAGTCTGAGTTCTAGGTCAGTGAGTCAATCCTGCATGTTACTTTTTAATCTATTACATTGTTGTTTTAGCTATGCTATTCTCACATCTCTTTCTTACGGACATTCTGAAGGAAATAATGTTTTTAAATCAATGTCCTTTTACACAGAAGAGCAGTAGCTCTGAAAAATCACCCCTTTCCTTATTAATAATCAAAAGAAAATCTAGTTTTATGGAGGCATGAGTTGAGTTTCAGTAGTTAAGGTCAAGATTTATTATTGTCACAGTTCAGGGCAACTGCACCTATATTCCCCCTCTATGGTCCAACAAGAGCATCCACTCTTAAGCTTCTGGACACAGGTCTCTTTCTGTCCTGGCCAAGGTATTTCCAGGCTGCACAGTTTCCTGCCTACACTGTTGTATTCCCCCAGCAAAGCAGACCACCTAAACAGGCCTACGTCTGCACTTTGCTTACTCTTTGAAAGCTATAAACAGTGTAACTGCTGCAGTTATAAGTGATCACACAGCTTTTTTTAGGCATGTACATTTATGGTTAAGGTGACGGCATTACAGAGAAAACACACTACAAACAATAAAAGAACCTACACAGATGCTAATATGTTTACCAGAGATCACTCCAACTCCAACAAGGGCTCTGGTCAGTGAACAGTCTTTCAAATCCCACCAACAGGTTTTTCTGTACTCATAAGTTCATATCAGCTATTAGCTCAGAAACAAACACACCCATGAATCTGTGAGTCACTCTTGTATCCAGTTTGGGCCTTTTTGATCTGTCCTCATTTAACAGATCAGCAGACAAAAAGTCCCCTCCTCCGTGCAAAGCTTCAAAGGCTGAGTTCTTGCTTACCTGGAAGAGTTTATATTTGCATACACCTCCCTGTAGAGAGATCCACTTAACTTTAAAAAGCTCATGTTGTTTCAGATAGACCTTTGAAGCTTATAACACTTCCCAGGGTTTTACATTAGTCAGGTCTCCTCCTTAGAGGCCTTACATAAAATTCCACAATGATACATAAATATTTGCATTTTAACACAATGAACTAAAATACATAAATTTAATTCAGTAAAATTTAACTTGATGTAGTTAAGTTTGTCCAGAATATTGCAGGAAATTGCCATCTCTGCCACAATTCTATTATTATTTTTATTACAATTGCACCTAGGGACCCTGACTGAAACTGATGCCCCATTGTGATGGACACTATTCAAACACAGTGAGCCAATATGTTCTCCTTCCTGAGTTTCCCCCTTCCAAGCAGTGGGCACCTTTCCCGTTCTGTGAGGTTCCCCTCCTTTTACCATTCCCAATCTGCAGGGTCTCTGCTTCTCCTCCCATCTGGGAACTCCTCCTGAGGGAGCTTATGCTGTGGAGCTGCCTCCCTGCCAGCCTTTGAATTCACCAGGGAAAGCAGTGTAGAGCAGCCAGGGGGGAGGCACTCTCTGGGGGTTGTGAAAGGCTTTGGTTTGGGGACCCTTTGGAATGAAAGACATTATGAGTGTGAAATAGTCTGATAGCGTCTACCCACTCAAGCCACCTGTTTTCCTTTATTCCTAAGGACCAGGAAAATATATAGTGTTGACTTTAGTAGTAAGATTTCTGATTTATACAGTACAGGGATCAAATATAAATGGAAACACACAGATATCCCAACACAGGTTGGATGCTAAGTTTTTACTTTGAAAAAGGCTTTACCTTAGACAGTTACAATAATGGCTGTAATCAGATGCATTTGACTCCCAACCTCCCATGAACTGCATCCTAGGTACCCTTTAAACTTGGAATATGGGTTTGTCTGTTGTGAAGAGTCTGCCAGAGTTGCTATGGCTACCCCAGCAGGGGTGGGAAGTTGTGTGCACAGGCTGTACACAGCTCACGCTGCTAGCGCTACATTTCACCAGAGCTCCCCAGACTGCCTCTGCAGCAAAAACAAAGAGGTTAGTCTACCCTTATTTGCTGTTAAAAGAGGGGAGATAGAAATGACTTTATGTTAGGAACAGAGAGATTCCTTGTTACCGGTTATTCTCCTTTAATTGCTCTGGCACAGCAGGAAAAGAAAGGGTTAACAATAAAAAGGTTTCTAGTAATTAGCATAGAGGGCTTTTCCATGTCCTTCTGTGCTCACCCTCCTCCTGCTTTGCTGCTCTCAGAACTAGAACTGGACAACGGGCAGCAGAACTTGCCAGGAGAAAGGTTAAGGAATCTTTTGACATCAGGTGGGGGTATGGCTGATTCCTCCTAGCCCCTGTGGGAAGCTGCTAGTGCTAGCTCAGGACCCACTACAGAAATCTCTGCTACAGCAGCTACATACAAACTGAGATGAGCTGTCGAGAGATCATTGGCCGCCAGGGAGAAGTTAGCGCAAAAAGCAGCAGGATTTCCCCCTACTGTTAACCTCATCTCAGAAAACGAGCTCCCCAATGTAGACTCTGCAGAGAATAGTCACAGATTTCTATACAGGGTTATAGGTTATACAGGTAAGAAGGGAGGGGAGAACAGAAAAGCGCCTGGTTGCTGCTGAGGACTCAGTTGCAGCAGCTACCCAGTTGAGCGACAGGGCACCTCTGAGTGCTGCCCTCTATTAATTACTAGCTGGCAGCCCAGAACCACTGCTCATTAGAACAGAGCTGCAGGGATCAGAATGAAGGCACAACTACACCTCTACCCCGATATAACATGACCCAATATAACACAAATTCGGATATAATGTAGTAAAGCAGTGCTCCGGGGGGGGTGCTGCGCGCTCCGGAGGATCAAAGCAAGTTCGCTATAACGCGGTTTCACCTATAGCGTGGTAAGATTTTTTGGCTCTCGAGGACAGTATTATATCGGGGTAGAGGTGTATTATCTCTCAGCCTCCTAAACACTAAGGCCAGAATTCTCAGAAGAGCTCAGCACATGGGGCACATGCTGGGTGCCCAGCTTTGAAAATTTGGCTCTAAAATGTCACCTCCTTGCATATCCTAAACTTCCACTGACTTCAGCTGGAGATTTCAGGCTGCAAAGGAATGTAAGACTGGGCCCCAAGAAGATGGTGGAGACCTCCAAAGTGTGTAACAAAGAGACAAAATTCATAACAATCTTTTTCACTAGAGTACATGAAATTGTTGAGTTAAACCACTGACATTTATGTACATTCTCTGATTTCGAAAGCAATAAATATACAATACCTGTACCATTGAATTTAAAGAAAGTAAATATTGAAATTAACTCAAAACTGGCATAATAAATACGCATTATTTTAAAATGGTTCCTTGCAAGGAATGCTCCAATTGAGGGTGTTCACTTGAAGCAGTAAAATAAGCTCTATGGTTCATTTTCTTCAGTCCTCAAATTGCTGAAAGGGTTACAGCTTGCTGGGAAAAAGGGGGTAGAGTAGTTGGACAACTTGTCATCACAGACAGCAGATAGCTATCACTCTCTCTTTGGTTATGAGTTGGCTCACTCTGAGGGGAGTGCAGCAGGTTGATTTTGGGGACAAAGCTGGAGTGTTCAAGAAAGAGCAGGCTTGCTCTTAGCATCCCAAACATTCTGGCTCCAGTCAGCTTCTGCAGCTCTGCAGGTCACACTGGCAGTTTTAGGGGGTGGGGAGATGGCATCTGACAGACAAATGGTTGGAGCTGGGTGAATTCTTTGGTAAAAAAGGCTTTTAAATTAAATTTACTTGTGTTCAAATTTGTAAAATAACCATAAAACTAAATTAATTTTACAAAAATGTGAACGCCTCCCACACTGGAAGACTGATTTAAAGAAGAAATGACTTTCAAAAGATAACATTTAATCCTGGAGAGCAAATCATGACCAGCATTTCACTCTCTGACACTCTACATAAACTCTACTGAGAGATCAGGACAGACATCCTTTAATGGTGAAAACATAATCAGGGATCAGACACCATAGATTCAGAAATGCAATGAGAAAATTCAAAAGTTTGAGACAACACAAGAGACTTACTTCTTAGTCATGAAAAATATGACTCCCAATGGGAGATATTTTTAAAGGGCTCATCATTGAATGAATAAATAAATATGAGTACACTGTAAACAAAAAACAAGTTGTCATTCCAACACAAAAAAAACACTACATTGTGTAACAGTTCAAGTTGGTCAAGTACAACAACTATCACCCCAAGTACTAAGCAAGTAGGAAATCCAAAGTTATCCCAGGCATCATACACGGCATCCAAACAACAAGAATTGTAACTTAAGTATCCTGACTAATAATAAAACTTCATTAATTAAAACTTTATTTTAAAAAACAGATGAGAAACACTCGGAAACCAGGTGTTTCTGAACATTTGACCTAACCTGAGTCATCTTAATTAAAACTCAATTAAAATAAATCTTTAAGATATGGTATGCTATTGTCTCAATGTTCACATTTAAATCTCAACACAAATTTTGTTGAAGGGTCTTCTCAGACTTTAAAGTAGTTCACAGTGTTAACCACATCCACCAATAAAATTTATTCTCACCTGCTTCAAATATTCTACTATGCACATGACAGTGAACAGAAAGATATACTTTATCTCTGTGTTAAAGGGTAGCTAAACCAAGCTGTCAAGTACAGTGCACTTTAACTGATACCCCTTATACAGTCTAGCAGTTTCCAAACTGTTCTCTAGAACACTCAATTGTCAGGCTACAAAAGTTATTTACAATGAAGTAGCTCAAGTCCTCCTCCTGATTTAAACCTTTGAAAGCAGGTTCAAAGAAAATCTAGGACCCGTATGGAGCCACATGAATTAAATAGCATGTCATTAGAGACTTGCAAAAACGTGATATAAGAACATAAGGTAACATCTGGAGCGAGTATACATTTTGATAACATACCATAAAGCAAATAATTTTAGTGGGAGCAACAGCCTCTAATGGTCACAAGTGAGAACTGCAGCAAAACAACATTTTTGTTCCATTCCAGATATTTGTGAGAGGGTGAAACCTATGTATATTATGGCTATTAGTTTTATATTTCCTAACCTTTTAATTTAAACTTGCATCCTCAACACTGCATTTTTATAACACAAAAGCCTATGGTAATGCAACGTTAAGATGGCAAATTTGGAGTTAAAAACAGGAAATGCAAAAGATAATTTTCTCATATACAGCTGTTAGGTCACCTGCATTGCACATGCTGTATTTTAAGAGAGACATTTAACAGACTAATTAGTAATATGTAAATTGTCAGTGAATTAAAGTTCACATGAGAATCTTAGCTTTAACATTTCTGTTTTTTATTTAAAATTGTAACCTCAGAACTGTATAAAAATAAGCAGTTGTATTTAATATACTTGTGCTGTTTGTTCTGAGGAAAAGGAAAACAGTAGCTGAAATCCTAGAGTTTTGTGTTCTTGCAGTTTAGTGAGGGAGAGATGCTTACCGTGTTTCCTGTGTGTGCATGATTTTCCTTCTCTCCAATGAGTGGATATGCTTTGCCTCACAGAGCACTGTGTTTAGCAGTTAAGAGTCTAATCTGGTGGTGCCTGAAGGAACAGTAACATGCACTTGGTTAATCTCTCGGTGCCTCGGTTGCCCATTTGCAAAGTAGGCAGGGCCGGTGCAACCACTAGGCAAACTACGCTGTCGCCTAGGGCGCCAAGTAGTTGGGGGCGCCAAAAAGCGGTGCCCTGGCTCCAGGAGCGGCGCCAGGGTTTTTGCCGCCCTAGGTGGCAGCGCTCCTCTGAACATTCGGTGGCGGGAGTCCTTCCGCTCCGCGTCTGCCGGAGCGAGTGAAGGACCCGCCGCCAAATTTCCGCTGAAGATCCGGAGCGGAAGGACCCCCGCCGCCGAATTTCAGCCGAGGGCGGCAAAATTCAACCCCCCAAATCCTGCCGCCCTAGGCAACCGCCTAGGGTCGCCTAGTGGAAGCGCCGGCCCTGCCTGGCTCGGAAGGGAGGAGGAGCCGCCTTCCGGAGGCACTGGAGAGCCAGAGCGTCGGCTTGCAGGGGTGGCAAACCCCAGCCTTGGAGGAGCCAGTGCGACGCGGGGGGGCAGCAGCCCTGCAAAGGCGGCGGCACCGCTGGTAGGGAGTAGCTGCCCCCCCCCCCCCCTCCCGCCCACGCTGCAGCCCCGCGCCCCCCCCCCCCCGGGGGCTCCTGCAGTGGATGTATGCAGGCGGCAGCACCCGTGCGCCCCCCGCTCCCCTCTCGCCGCGCTCGGGCTCTGTGGCTCCCGGGCATGTGAGCCACCACCGCCGCCGGGGCACGGGGCCCTGAGCCTGCTCCGGGAGGGGCGGCGGTGGCTCACACTCCCAGGAGCCGCAGAGCCCAAGTGTGGTGAGGGGGTAGCCGGGGGGCACACGGGGGCTGCTGCCCACATGCATCCGCTGCAGGTGCCCCCAGGGAGGGGCAGGCGCGCTCCCCGGCTCCCCCCTCACCGTGCTCGCGTTCTGCGGCTCCCGGGTGTAGAAGAGGACGGCTGTAGGC